ATCTAACTGTGCACGTCACTGAAGAGGTGTTTACTACATTCAGCGACGGCGAAAACGGGATGTTTTTTTAAACGTCGGTCAATATAATCAGCAGAATCGCCACCCGCTGCTGCAACTAGCTGCTCCAAACATCAGCATGCTAACGCGTATAGCGGTGCAGCAAGGGAAAATGTCCCCCGGGAAACAACAGTTCACTGGCGGCCGTGACGAAACGTTCCGCTATTTAAACCGGAATGTCTGGTATTCAAAAAATTCATATCATAACAAAAATAAAAACTGGTATTCGGTACAAAACGGTATACCACCCAGCACTAGGTGGAGTCAATGGTTGCGTCTAAGCTGCCTTTACAACAAAAAATCGAGGCGCCATTTTCTCAATTGTAGCAGTGACATTAGTCATGTTTCAATCCACTTTTATATTGAATTTTTAGCAAATTTTTAAAATTTCAGAACTTATTCGGTAAATGTGTTTCCATCTTTCATTTTACGCCTTAACTTTTTTTCTAAAAACCCAAAAAACACCCTCCACCAACCCCCCAAAACACACCCACTAGAACCGGACTGGAACGTCAATGGAAAAGCACCCAAACTGACCCGTTCCAACACTGACCATACTGACAGTGGCACTAGTGGAAAATAGATAGGATGGGACACGTGGCTCTTTGAATGGATCTTGTTACATAGAACTATTCAATTTTAAGGTAGTTACGTCATCACACAGGTATACTGCATGTCATCAGGTATGCTGTACATGATGACGTAATTCCATTACGTGGGGGCTGCCATGTGCTTTGTCAAGCACAACCCTCCTATCCCTTTCCATCTGAGCTGATGTAATCGACCCTTCTGCCTGTTTTCTGTGAAAAAGCAAAGGAGGAGCAATTGTCACTGTGGTTAAGAGAAAAATCCAAAAATATTATGAGGAGTAAAAAAAATTAATCTTGGAACGGCTCTTTACTGTCCACAACTTGGTTCTTATCATTCTTTGTAAGGAGCCATTCCAAAGATTCAGATAGTTCACGAACATCACATCTCTGTTAATTATTTTGTTTTCATAAAATGGTAAAAAAAAAGGTAAACATATCAAGTCCAACAATTCAAAAGTGTTTCACCCTACAGTCATTCACCCAATCATTCACACATCCACACACTGATGGTGGTAAGCTACACTGTAGCCACAGCTACCCTGGGACAGGCTGACAGAAGTGGGGCTGCCATGCACCAGCGCCACGGAACACTCTGACCACCACCAGCAGACAACGAGGGTGATGTGTCCTGATCAAGGACACAACAGTTGAGACAGATGAAGGGGGAGATTCAAACCAGCAACCCATCAGTTACAGGACAAACTCCTACCTCCTGTTGCCACTATCGACCCATGCATAGTTGAGTCACCTACAGCAGTATGTGTTTCTTTTATTTCTTAACCTTTATTTAAGCAGGCAAACCACATTGAGATCACAGATCTCTTTTGCAAGGGAGACCAGGGCCTGAAGGCAAACCTAACATGCATAGTTCTGATCTCTCCACATCTGAGGTATGGTTTTATTGGCTGCAGTTGAGGACCACTTCTCCAAAAATGTTGATTGGTGTCTGTGGACTCATATAAAAAAGTGTGTGTAAATATGTATATATATTAGAGGTGCAACAATACAGAAAATCCACGATTCGGTTCGATACTTTAGTCTCACGGTTCGATATTTTTTTTTGATACAAAACAGAGAAATGACCATTCATCTGTCTCAACTGTTGTGTCCTTGATCAGGACACATCACCCTCCTTGTCTGCTGGTGCTGGTCAGAGTGTTCCATATAAAATACTATCCATTATATAAAATATATACATTTTGAGCCAATGGCTCTGTTGGACATCATTCTATTTCAAAAGAAAGAAAGCATGACGTGCCTTTCAAGTATCATTGGCTAAACATTGCTTTTACAACGTTTCCAGATCCTTTGTGCTCTATCAAAAGAGTTTTAACAACACATCTCAAAACCCCATGAGAACTTGCTGACTACCTTGTGACTTGTATTTGTGCTGCCATGCTGTTTCACTTGTTGCATGAAGCTGTTTTTTTACAACTTCACCTTGGTAACATAGTTTGTTCCTAAACCAGTTTTATACATACACAGCTTAAAGTAGACATATCATGCAAAATACATTTTTTTAGGGTTGAATGCATTTTTTGCGTACTTGGAGTCTCTGGGTGCAGACAATGAGTTTAGTCTTTCCTGGTGCTGCATAGATACTGTATCTTTATATTCTGACCATGTCATATTTTTCACCCCTTCAATTTTCCCTATTTTCTTTGATGTTTTCTTGTATTATATCACAGTATTTGTGACAGAACTGCCAAATAAGGTCTGGACTTACCAACTACCATTTTGACGCCTTCATTCTCCTCTGGCTCTGGGTCAGACTCTGGCTCCAACGTGTAAGGCTGGATGGACAAGTCTTCCTTGGCTGATTTATTTGATTAATTTGTAAATAAAATGTTTAAGCAGGGTGTGAAGCCCCTCATTTGGATTCAAAGAGACAGCCTCAAAACGAGTTTATCTGAGACACACCTCAGAAAAGGGCTGAAAGAGGGGCTTGTGGAGTTACAATAGGGAGGAATTCAGATCAAACCAGTGGAGTTCCACTTTATATAGACCCCAACTGATTGATTTAAATGTGAAAAAGAAGGGTTTAAAAGCATGGTATGTCTCCTAGGTCAACAAGGTAGATAAGACCCAAATGCAGAAACATTGGATCAGAATGAAAACTTAAATTTAATCACAAGAAAAAGACTCAGGAATCCATGAAGTGGACATAAATGAAAGAGTGTTTGGTAACAGGTCAGCTGATTAAGAATGAGGGATAGATTTCAAGTGAGGAGCTAGAAAACAGAGCGACAATGACCATCAAGAAGCAGTGACAGTTGGACCCAAAGGTGAAAATGCAAGAGACAGAATCATGATGATAAATGTGTACATTTAATAACCAAAACTAAGAACAAATACCGTAACTAAAACTGATTATCAAAACTTTCTTAAATCCACAACAAAACATGACTACTTGAAAATATTACTCAGTACCAAGACAGTTTCTGTTAATGACTGTGATTTAATTTACTTATTTTCATCAGCACCTGTATGCCATAACTGGTTAATCAAACTATAACCGTACATAATCTCAAACTCTGTGCATGAATACTTGAATAATGTTGATGGCATCTAAAGGCAAAAGGTATTCAGAACAAATAACGATTTCATTTGCATTTTTCTTCCTCTAGCTCATTTTGCATTTGGAAAAAAAAAACATCAGAATTCATACATGTGAAACCATTCTTAATTACAGATTCTTCCCACTCACGTGCCTAAAACTTTTGTACAGTGCTGCTTCCAAAAATAGCCAAAAGACATATGGGAACTCTTAACTAAATTTTCTAGAAAATGAAGAAATGGGAAGGAAACTTAACAGTGTGAGGGAAAAGAGGCCAACAGAAAAGTGTTGGCAAGAAGTCAGACTGGGTAACAAGAGGGGGCAGATGATAGATAAATGAGAAGATGGGGAATTGAAAATGGAACAGAAAAACATGGAGTGAGGTAGAGATTAAGATTCTCAGAAAAGGAAAGAAACATGCAGTGGAAGTTCTGAGCAGAAACAGAGCTGAAGGGGGATGTGTGAATATTTAACTCTGTTTAGTTTTCCATTTGTTCCTTTTGGCTCTTGCCTCCCTTTGAGGCCTTCTGTTTGCCTAAAGGTTACTGAAGCAGTATACTTATAAATGTGCATTCTGTTAATACAGTATATGAGGAAGATACATTGAGCGTTATAGAAAAGGTTGAATTTATAAGATATAAATTAGGTTATTAAAAATAATCCAAGACTGCACTATTGTTTTCCTCATACCAGATAATTTAAAGAAATTTGTGTTTGATTGATTATTTCTTTGTAACAATACTCCTTGGCAATAAATCATATTGCTAAAAAAAAGCCTGTTTATTTTCTCTTAAATGATGTTACATTAAGATGTGGGTGCAGCAGCATGACCATGAAAACTTGTCTCTGCCAATTCCAAACAGCTTATTCTGTCATTGACTCTTGTTTTGAGCTTCTGATACCTCAGGTGCTGACAAACCTTATTGGTGCCTGATTGTCAGCACTTGTGAGCAAACAGTGGAAAATCCCATATCTCCTCTGGGGTCAAATGGTCCAGAATATGGGAGTGAAGAGGATGCGATGTCCTGCTTAGAGTCCTGACCTCAACTTTAATAAACACCTGTGGAATCAGCTTGGTCCATATTTTTGGCCACATTGTGACAAATGGTGGTTGAAGAATGGGATGCCATCACACAGCAGTGTGTGGCTAAGCTGCTGAGCATCAAAGGGAGGAGGTGTCAGGCTGTTGTGGCTGTGTATGTTTCTTACATGCTGCTGAGCCTCCTGTTTGTTAAATTGCCAATATGTTTTGTTTCTTTAGACTTCAAACACCCAATACAATAAGCAAGAGTCAATATCAGAATAAGCTGTTTGGCATTAGCAGAGAAGATTAGGCAAGCTTTTCATGAGAGTAACCTCAATACTCAACACTGCTGCTCAACTCACAAATGCATTTTCCGCACAAATGTTACAGTTTAAGGATAGACTTTCCAATGATAAACAATTTATTGCCAAGAAGCATTGTTAGAACAAAAAATAACCAACCTAACACATTTTTCTCACTTTAAGAGCTAAGTTTAGAAAGCACTAATATAGCATCAGCAGGAGAGCATGTGCAGCTGCAACTCTACTAATTTATAGCGACAGAGACTGAAACAGCTTGTGAGGAATTGTAATTACTGCATATGCAAAGTGCAATCAACGGTTTGTACCTCACCCAGCACCATTAAAATTCATCCAGCCTGTGCGTACTTCTTTGAATATACTTCTCACTTAAAGAAAAGTTACAGAAAATCTCACAATGGAAACCAATAAAACATGTATGTCTTATTGCAATCCTTTTTTTTTTCTAACAGGTTGTGACTGGTCCCACCCCAAGATGACATCTCCTAAAGCCAAAGCTAAGAAGAAACCACCTAAAGACAGCATGACACTGCTGCCATGTTTTTATTTTGTGGAGGTATGGATAAATTGGATGCATACTTAAATTGCTGTTCATTTTACCAGCTAGCTACCACCTCTGCATCCCTAATTAAGTTTGTACAGAAAGTTAAAAGGAAACTATTTCCTCTTTTACATACAAAAATTAAATGTTAGGCATCTTATGCTTTGCTCTTTGTCTTGTTTTTACATGAAAGGAGTTTAACTTTACGTTTCTGCACATGCCTCTCTAGCTTCCCATCGTCCTGTCCTCCTTGGTGTCCCTGTACTTCCTGGAGTTGACCGACGTCTTGTCCCCGGCGAAGGTGGGCTTTCGTTGCTATGACCGGGACCTCTCCATGCCCTACCTGGAGACGGGTGATGAGCTCATCCCTCTGCTGATGTTGTTAAGTTTAGCGTTTGCTGGTCCAGCAGCTTCTGTAAGTGCAGATTACTCCCATCGCATCCCAATGTTTCTAGATTTAATTCAACGGTTTTGGACATCTAAAGTCAAGTCGAGTATAAACATTTAGACTCCATCTCTGCATTTTGTGAAAACAAAAATTTTTAAAAACTTTGTTTCTGGTGGCTTCATGTAGAATGGAGATGCAAAGATATTTAGAAAACTATAACGAAGGAGCCTAAGGGGCTCTGAACAATCACTCTGTGTCCTAAAAAAGGCTAACAAATCTGGAGCCATTTTTTGACTGGCTTCATGCTGAACCTGCTCAAACTTTGATCTTGTGCTTCAATGATTAATAACTGAAACAAAACTGTAAATGTGGAAAAAATTATTTCTGTGTGGACAAGGACTACACATGTTTCCTGTAATTTGAAATATCACCATCATCTTGGTATCTAGGAGTGCAGCATGAGTATTTCATCATATTTGGTGGAATTTGTGGACAGAGAAACAAAAGAAATTAGGGATGCACCGATATAAAAATTTCAGCCGATATCAATATCCGATATAATTATTGGTGTTATGGCCGATAACCGATATTTACCGATATTACACAAACATACAAATTATATTATACATATACGCAAAAACACACTTGGGTCTTTTTTTGATCCTGTAAATAAACAACCAGACCTCTGACATGGCTCCCTACATCAGTTATTCCTGGCTGCGCAGCGTCAATATCACTATCATGATCAAACAGATGCTGCTCAACCAACCATCTCCCCTCCCAAAACAGAAACACAAAGATAAAAAGTGGAAAATCATTATCGGACATTAATATCGGCCCCGTTTTACATATCGGACCGATATGATACTCTAAAAAATGACCAATATCAATATCAATACCGATATATCGTGCATCCCTAAAAGAAATCAAAACAATTACTAATAACTTCACATAGTTCTATAAAAATATATAAGTATTACACAGACTGGGCTTTTGATCAAATATTTCTATAACTTAAAGGATTTTCTGGTCATTTTGAAGTGATATTTTGTCAAATAGTTATCCATAGTCGTTTATAAGCTCAGAAATCAGTCAATAGGCACAAGGAGAAATGGGAAAAATCGTCATCTAGGCTAAGCTAATGGCTATCTAAACAAGAAGTCATTTTTAAAAGCTTATTATCTAATTAGCACACTACTACTGTAAAATAACACATTAGATCATTTTAAAGCTCTACATTTTCACACAGCACCAAGCTCTTGCTGCTTTTTCAAACAAAGACATCTGGATTCAAGCACAATTGTATGTGTGCTGACCATAGATCAGTTTATGTGGACGGTGCTGAGGCTGCTGATGTATCAGTCTATATCAGCAGTAAACTTTTGGACTGACTAGATGTTCTGATTTAAAACAACTGATATATTAGCTAAAGCAGCACCATCAGCAAATAATGAAATGAATGCTCCACACACATAGTAACACACAATATGTTGCTTGGCTGAAACAAACAAACAATGTTATGCAAAAATTCAAGTTTGTTATTGCTAACGTAGCTGTAGGTTAGGGGTTTGTGCAAAATACTTGTTTCATAAGCCTGAAAAATTGGTTTGACTAGCCATTAGCTTAGCCTGGACAAAGACTTTTCATTGTTCTTTATCACGTTTAAGATGCTATTAAGCATTGGTGGGCAACGCTAATCCAAAAATTAGCTCCGCAATTTCTAAAGCGCTTATGAAAATATTTAGGTCCACAACTTCAAAAGCTCTTATGCCATAGAAAACTAGCGGAAGCTCATTTTAAAACGCAAGTCCAATTTGACACTTACTAGCTGGCAATAAGTCATGTACAATATATACACAATACTGCCAACTAGCGATGTATGAACCCTTTTACAACTTAATCCTACAATTGCCAATTGCTGGGGATGTGATTTCATGAAACAGACCTTTGGCTCCTTGCGTAAAAATTAAAAAGTTGTTGAGGATTGCTAGTTCGGCTGCTTCTTTGTCTTTTTCTTTTGTTTGTTGTAGATTTTTCATTAAAGAAGCATCAATAAAGTAATTTTAAAATTGTTTATTGAAAAGTGAAGCGATGTATTCTGGGTACATGATGGATTTCATTTGTGATGGGAAACGAAAGCACAGAGTACAGGAAACTATCTTCACTTCAAAATAAGAGCATGGTCGGATTTTAAAGTTTTCCATGTTGTTGCTTCAGTTGACCACTAGATGTCTGTCTTCACCAGCATAACATCTTTAAATCATTTCTGAGTCTCTAACCCCATTGGCCGATTGCTTTGACCAATTACGTCAAGTATTGAGCTCCAGCGTTTAAACTTTATTTTTTTATCCATCCATCCATCCATCCATCCATTTTCTTCCGCCTATCCGGGGTCGGGTCGCGGGGGCAGCAGCTTCAGAAGGGAGGCCCAGAC